TAATTCTGCCGTTTGTCATCTCCTTTAAAAAGACTTGGTGTGTGCACTGAATGTGATATATTAATTCCTGAGATGGACAGAGCCTCCTCTCTGTGTCTAATGTCTCCTCCATCCAACCCCAAACTTGTCCCTACCAAATACCAATGTGCAAGTACCTGGTTATATGTGAAGGAAAATCACTGGGGTTCCTTTTTAGTTTTAGGTAAGAGCCACTAATATGTGTGCAAAGAATTGTTGTGATATGCGATCTCCAGGCTCCATTTCATATCATAGGGAAACAGCTTGTAAAAAACAAAATGAGTAATAGGATGCCTACTTGTATTTTAATAGCTAAATCTTCCATCTCTAAAAAGAATAAGCATCAATTTATTTTAAATGGTGGCTAAACTGTTCCCAAAGCATTTATGTTTAGTTTTAAGTGTAAAATATCTTTGTGCATCTGCTTGTTGATAACTTTCCTCTCCTGAAGGCTGCTGCTGTGCCCAGTACCACTTAAGAGATATCGAATGTTTATTCTGACTTTACTTGCTTTTTTCTTGACTACTTCTTTTTCCCAACTTTGTTTCATTGCTAATTTCAGAGAAATTCATTGTGTATTTGCAGGTGGCAACTAGTAATCAACTTCACATCTCCCTCACCAAGCTGCACCAGGCTTCTGGTTCTCCTTAACCTGCAGTTTTCTGGCTCTTACTTGTTTTTTTTAACTGCCTGCTGCTTTATGCTAAAACCAAGGCTATCTCTCTGTATTCCCATTTTTTTCTTTTGTTCTTGATCTTCCTAACATGGTTCTCTAGAGTCAGGCATCTTGATCATCCTCATCTTTTATTCTTCCATAGTTTCTTTCAAAATATGATTATTAGGATTTCTAAAACAGTCAAAGAACATTCGTAAGTTTTGAGTTCATGGGAATTCCTATTCATATTTACACAGGCAAGTTTTGACTGCTTTAATTCCCTGTTCCATACAAGCCTCAAACCTTCCTTGTCTAAATTTGGGGTTGGGAGTCATTTACTGAGCTCCCATTGTGAGATAAAAATAAGTTCCTTTGACCTCTCAGTTCAGGGTTATCTTGCTTTTCTAACCCTGATGCCTCTCTCCTTCCCTGCTTGTGCCTGCTTCTTTCCCAAGAAGTGTCACTGCCTTCCAACTGCTGCCTCCTCTTCCTTTACTATCCTGCTTCCTTCTCATCTAATTTTCCACAAAGAGGAGCAAGAGAGAGTGTTTATTCTTTCTCTTGAGGTGAATTAGAGTTGGTGGTTAACATCCCTTCTCTCTCTAGATCATGTCATTCCCTCTTTATTATTTTTTTTTGTCTCTTTAGGGTATGATTCAGCTCTCTGCAGTAATTATTTATTATTATCTGTAATACAGTGATGTCTAAAAGCTCCAAAAGAAGTCAAAGCCCCAGTGTGCAAATACATAGCAAAAGACAGTCCCTGCCTTGAAAAGCTTGTACTCTAAATAGGAAAGAAGAATCGAGAGCGGCAGAAGAAGTAGGCAAAAAGAGAGGTGATTTACTTGCAACATGTAGCACATTAGCAGCCAGAAATGGAAGCCCATTCTCTGGACTCCCAAGGCAGTGATACCTTCTCTGTATCTTGCTGCCTGTTTCCAAGAAAGGGTCAGCTATAAGTCTTGTGTGAAGTCTCTATAAATTTATATAATATACTATATAATATAAACAAAGATCCTGCAGTGACTTACAACCACAAGGAAGCAAAGAAGTAGATTTTTTTTTTGCACTGTTCTTAGCTCATCTGAATTTCTTCATACTGCGCTGGGACCTTTCTTCTACATGTTATTTTGCGTTTGTGTTGTCCCGTTTTAATTCATTCTGAATTTATAACTTGTTAAAACTAATATAAATAATCAAAGGCAACATGGGTGATTCACAGTTTTATTTAATCTGGAAAATGTAGATGAGAAATGATCAACAGCCTCATTAAAACAATCCCCCTGTTTTAGGATTTGAGCCCACATCAGCTCCAGCTCCCTCAGTGCCTGCCTGGCAGGGTCGATCGATTGGCACAACCAAGCTCAGACTGGTGGAGTTCTCAGCTTTCCTCGAACAGCAGCGGGATCCCGAATCAGTAAGTGCTGCCCTTTGAATCCACTAATTTTGTTTTTCTCGTTGCTCCCCACTTTCTGAGTGCACTACCGGTTTTAAATTTGGATGGAGTACACGGGGTGTTTCTATGTTCACTACTGCTCGGTGTCGTTTTCTTCCTTTCGTGCACTGCTTTTTCCCTTTCGCTGAAGGGTGAGGCAGTGGTGGTGGCCTGTGAGAGCAAGCATGGCTCATGGTGCCATGGCCCTCCCTGTCGACCTAGTTTAGCAGTAGTACCAAAGTACGTCGCATTTTTTCACAATAATTCAGTTATGTACTTTAAGTTAAAACTTAATTCCTTTCATAACAGAAAGAGAAGAAATGGCCAACATAAAAATATGTGTGTTCTTTGACACTATTATAAAGATTGACTTTTGGGATTTGCTCTAGGTATCAAAGAGAGTCTATTTTAGTTTATGCCTTCCAAGTATGAACCATTTCTCTGTATCCCTTCTTTTTTCTTTTTTTCTTTTTTTTTTATATTCCTGTTTCTTATTTTCTTTTTTTCTTTTCAAGGTGGTAAGGAAGGATACCAACAATTAAGCAAATGTCTCTTTTGAGCATAGCCCACCCCTTTCCAAATGTGATTATAAATTGAACAAGTTGAGGTTAATTATCTGAATGTTGAATCACTGGCTCTTCCAATCCAGGGTTTGAATTCTGGGGATTTTTGAGGAGAGTTTTGCTTCTGTGTGTTTTTTTTTTTTCAATTCAGATAGTTGTATCTTCAGGGGAGCTTATGAAGCTGGCTATAATATTTTATTTACTCCAGTTAGCCTTGAACTTTGATATTAATCATTGTGTATTTACCACGGACATTTGTTAGCAGCCTAGCACTGCTTCTAGTGCGTCACAAAAAAATCAGAAAAGCTCCTTGCAGTTCAAACCTGAGAATTTTTATTGAGATAATTTCGCAAAAGCAAATACTGTTATGAATGAGTAATACAGCCAGACCATTCTTGTTCATATTTCTGGTAAAATGCAGTAGCTTGGAGCAGAAAAAAGCTATCACATGCTATTTATAATTCAGTATTGGAAACCATAGTATTTATGGGCTCTGGCCAGGGGTGTTATCCAGGGAGTGTTTACCCTGCGTAATGGAGATCAGAGACACAGCCCAGAAGCCTCGCAACAGAGGAATCCTTCTGGCAGAGAAACACCTCAATGAAAATATAGGGTATCTCAGCCATTGACATACTAAATATGTGGCAGTGTTGGGTGGCTGTGTTACATGTTGCCAGGTGGAATTAACTTTGAGGGAAAGGTGTTTGGCAGCAATCACTTTACTAATTACATGGCTTTGGGTATCGTACGGGCTCCCCGCAGCCCGTACACGCTGGTCACAGGTTCCAGCGCCTCCCCTCGCCCCCGTGGCTCTGGAGCAGACTGTGCCACAGCCACATGCGAGCGGGCAGACCTGCCTGAAGGTCAGCACTCCTGCTCCCATTGCATGCTTATTCCAGCAGTTTTCCTATTTCCCCTGATGTGCCAGAATTGCCGTATGCAGGGAGTACCCATGCAAGGATTAGAGCTGCAGTAGGGTGAGGGCTTCTGCACCATCCCTGGTCCTTGGTGCAGAGGTCACGCACACAACATGCACGAATTTCTTGTGTCGCTTACACATCGTGCTTGGCTCTTACATGCCTTTTCTCCCCCACATGGTTAGCCAGGGCCTAGCCATGCCACCCTCTATCCTTTCTGCATAGGTTTTTATAATGCAGCCTCCCATGCAAAACCCATGGGTTTGTGCAGCATCGGGCTGCTGTGTATCTGCGTGCACTTGCACACCAGGGCAGGAGTGAAGTGGTTCAGTGGCCAAAGAGCTGTTATGTCTGTCCTTTGCAGCAAACCCTCTCAAACCGCGCGTGCCTTCAGCAGACAGCGTGCGAGGGCCAGTCACTCCTGGTGCCCAGGCCACGACACTGCCTGCGGAAGGGAGCAGATCTGCAGCACAGCTGACAGCAAAAGACTAAAAGATGCTGCCTTGGCCAGCGAGGGCGGCCGGGACCCCCCGCTCCGCATACTCCCCACTGGTGTGCGGGGCCCGACGTGCCGTGCTCGGCCGTGACGCGTGGGGCCCTGGGCTCAGCAGCCGTGTCGGGGCTCTTGCTTCTCAGGCAGGTGCTGACTCTCTGGGGAATGCGACGCATCCACGTGTGCTGCAGACAGAGAGCTGCAGAGAAACGTGGTTGCCCAGATGGCCGTGGAACTGCGGCAAAGCCTTTTTGGAATAAACTAATATTTTCTGGAATTCCTCAGGTGTACAGGGAGTTTCACAGGAGCTTGCCCTAGCTTGCAAGTGTGCTGCTGAAAAACCTGCCTTTCGAGTGCAATGCATTTATGCTGGAGGTTTGCTAGAGCAGCAAGGGTGTGAGACTACCCAGGCATATTTTTTAAAACCCAGTTACTTGAATGCTGGAATGCTGTAAAAGTAAGACACAAAGCAAAGTAAATTCCTCTTCATGGGGGGAATGGTATAGAAAGATTCGGGTTTTTTCTTTGTTTGTTAGTATTTTTAATTCCTTTTTAAATACCAAAATCAGCAAGCAAGGCAGGATGAGCGTTCCAGGCAAAGTGCACATTAAGTCCTGTATGCAGGTGCTGTGCTTGCAACTTACCCTGTGCTCCTTTCTGCTTTGCTGGCCTTATAAATGAATATACATATGAGCTTCCAAATAAGAATCTTGTAAGAGCTTGCACATATCTTCTGCAAGAGACAGATATATGTTCATGACACTTCTGACTTGTCACAGAGAATGTCACAAGTATCATTTTGATCAAATGCATTTCCAACATCTATTTTAAAAAAGAGAACTTCTCTCCCCCTCCCCTCCACAAAAACCCAAACCAGCTAGAAATGCTGCTGGTAGTGGAGCAAATAAAGCAATTGCACTTGAAAAGGAAGGTGGAAGTTCATTGAGAAGGGATTATTTGGCGCGGCACCCGGGGCCAGGCCCCTTGCCGCGCTGCTCCCCTCTGCTGCCCGTGCTGCCTCCCCCGGCACAAAGGTCCCCCCGCGGAGAGGTCACCGTGGGATGGGGCTCTGAACATTGCTGCGGTTCTTCCAGTGGCAATTGGCATTGAAAAGTACAAAAGCCCCTCAATGTCAGGCAGTTATGTTAATGGAGAGTGGGCATTCTGGTGGGTCGGAAATGTGCGCGGCAGAGCCCTCTCCCTTGTTGAGGCTGCTGACTTTCTTCCCCTCGCCTAGCTACAAAATGGTGCCATTTACACAATGAAAGGACACAGTAAGCTGGCCTCACACTAACCGTGCACAGGAGATAGGCTGGAAGATCTAAGATGCCACGGCCATTTCCAACAGCTTGGAACAGGGATTCTGTAAGTAAGGGGGAGCAAAATTTCTCCTTGTTTTACATGAAAATCAAAGCCATTTACCAGCATTGAGCTCAGGATTCCTCATAGGGCATTTTGTGTTCAAATTTGGCTTCTGAATGGTGCACAGACCTGCCCTCATGTGCCCAAGCACCAGGGCTCTTCTCGCTTGCCTTTAGTTACTACCAACCCCATGTATTCTGACTACATTAACAAATTTATTTGCCAATCAGCTGCTTTCAAGAGAGGATTTATTTAACGAGGGGCTTCCCGTTTGCACCATGGTGGCTCTGTGGTAGTTCGGGGCCAATGCTGAAACCAAATAATCCCATGTTCCCCAACAAGTATAAACTCCCTGAGTGCTCAAGCAGACTAGAAGAGACCCAAACAACTGTGTGCTACACAAATAGCTACAAAATTAAAAGGCTGCAATATTGAAATGATAATAATTCCAAGTTCTCTTAAATATATTCAAGCCTGCTTTCCAGCAAGGAAAAAAATACCACTGCCCAACACGAACAAAAAAAAAAAAAAAAAAAAAAAAACTTTCTTCTGCCCGTCTTCAAGCCTTCTCACGGTTGCTGCTGCATTCATTTCTACAGCCAGCTCTTCAGGCAGGTTTACAGCTAAAACGACCTAGAAGAATAAAGAAGGTGCCTGATAAGCACTTTTGGTTTTAACTCACCTATCCAAACTGTCAGAGAGTGTTAGGTCCAAATTTCAAAATATATTTTTTAAAAGTGGCAAAGAAATAAAATATTCTTTATGTTTTAATTCAGGTTTTACAGATGCTTTAAAAGGGCTTTGTGAGCCCAGGGAGAATTGTGCCTGAGAACCAGAAAGCAAAAGCAATTGCAAAAGGGCCATAAAAACAGCCCGCCGTCATTAGGCAACTGCCATAAAATTCACCAAAGTTAATCAAGCCACCTAAGTGATGAAAAATAAATGAGATGTTCTCAAAAAAAAAAAAAAGGCAAGTCACCTTTCTGGCCAGTGGGCAGTGCTAGAGGTGTTGCTCAGCTTCCTGCAGCCCTCTAAGCGGGTGCAAGGTGCCTCAGCGTTCTACTCTCAAAGTCCTCAAGTCATCTCCAAGTGGCATCTCGGTTATGTGGAAAGAAAGAGAAGTAACACTCAGCTTTGGGCAGATCTGTCTTGGAGGGTCCGACTCGGAAGTTTAGGAAATTTTAAACTAAAAACAGACCAAGTTTAGCCAAATCAAAGGTGGTGTTTGTGCAGCGCTTGGGGAGGGGGCACTGTATTCGCTAAAACGCTCCCTGCGGAGGGCAGCGCTGCCCGGGCCGGCTCCGAGCCCGGCCGCGCTCCGGGCGCTGCTGCTTCCCGGGAGGCCCTGGCTGGGCACGCGGGCAGCAGGTCTGCGCCTCCGACTTGTGCAAGCTCTGCTCTGCAACCGCCTGCGTCTCGCCGTGTGCATGCGCACTTGAGGCCCCGTCACACGCGCTCGCTCCCTTTGCTCGGAATCCATCCCTGCTGTTGAGAACCCCCCAGCAAAACAGTGAGTGCTATTTTTGTGCAACTAAACAGAAGCACGAGGGCCAAGCGGTGCTGTCAGCTCCCTCTGCCGGCCCTGGCAGGCCCAGCTCTCCTTTGGGCCCTGGGGCTGGCACGTTGCTGCGTGGCCTTCCCGGGGTT